CAGCGTCTATCGTAAGAAAACGTGGTCCGGACAATACACCCATTTTGGGAGTTTCGTAAGGCTAAGCATTAAACGTAATTTAGTCCGCAGTTTGACAGAAAGAGTGAGAAGAACCTGCTCAGCTGATAAAGTTGAGAAAGAGCTTAAAACCATCAAAAGCCTTTTTGGCCAGAACGGCTATCCTGATCGATTCATTGCCAAGAATATGGCCGAAAGATCACGAGTGCCCCCAATACTGACGGCAGGAAAGAAAAGGCTCTTCATCAGGGTCCTATTTCAAGGAAATCTATCAAGTAAACTTTCAAGATGACGCCTAATTCAAGCTGTGCCACAGACCTTTCCAGCGGCTGACACCCGTGTAGTCTTCTCCACCAGTCCCATCGTGTACGGAGAGGACAAGAACAAACTACCAGCCCAGACCACCTCTATGTGTATTCACTCCTTCGCCTGCTCCCGTGGGGCAGAATATATTGGTCGCACGAGCTGGCGTTTATCCAAAAGAATAAAAGAATATCTTCCAGCGAGGTAAGGATAGGGTCAAAGAAAAAACATTAACAGCTCGATTCTCGTGCCCATGGTAGACACAGACCAGCGTGTAGAATCCAGAGAGGCCTTCAGAGTGATTACCAAGGTCCCGTCGAGCTACCCATAACTACTTGGAGAGCGCTTTTTGGATACGGCAGGAGCAACAGCAATCAGGCTACGCGGACCGGGCCTATGCGCACAGAATAACTTCATACGGGTCCGACAGTTGCCATGGCCCAAAGCCACCAATCCGGCCACCCGCATGTAATTACCTTCGCCGGGACCCACCTTCTCCCTCACGAAGACTGGAATTGTGGTGTTTCACTCTCCCCCTCCCCTCCCAAAACCCGAGCTACAGCTTAGTTATCTACTTGCTCGTATTTTTTTAATTCATTAGTTCAATAGCCACATAAATGTACAGGCCTGAAGAGAATTTATCAGGATGCCTCCAGGTGACCTTCTTTCGATCCGGCAGCCAGAAGAAGGTGTTCGTCAGGATGAGGCAGTTTTCTGCGCAGTTGCGCAGGAGCAGCAGACCATTTTCGTTTGAGCACGGACATCGTCGAGCACGACGGTTTAACTATGATGATGATGATGATGATGATGATGATGATGATGATGATGATGATGATGATGATGATGATGATGATGATGATGATGATGATGATGATGATGATTCAATCATTGCCGTTTTTTCTGTACATACTTGTAGGAAGGTTTGCATTATTCATGCTCAACAGAAGGCCATTAAGTATGGGATCCTTGCTTGCAAGTTGCATAACACTTGTGAAAACGGACTTAAATGAGCACCAACATACACCTATGCAGATCTGATAGGGAATATTCGATCTACTACCCATTTATGACGACAAAGCTGGTGTTAGCACAGCGAAACCAAACTGTGTGTTAAAATCCTCGAAAAGAAATCTAGTTTAGATACTGAGCGCACTTCTGTCTCAGTAGTCTGATGGTGAAACTTGATTGGGGTCCAACCCAGAAAGCCTATTTAGTAGTGAGTTTCAATATCCAGACGTGATTGTGCGGGCGGCACTGCGGGAATCTGACTAGCAGTTACACGTAACGGAACGCATTTGTGTGAACCTACGTCATCGTTAGGTATTTTGGCAAGCAACAACAATCCGCAATCCTCTTTGTTGCGTTTATTGTGTGTCAGGTAGTCCATTGTTAAGGAGGAATCAGGACCAAGGCCACGGATACTGGAATGCCTATTTCCACCTTTATGTAGTCTCCGGCTAGTCACATTAAGCAGCACCCTAACTGCACCGTTGAACTAAGTCAGCAGCTGTATGAAACAGCTGCATGCTTCCTAGACATCCTGTGATATTTCTAGAACGCTTTTATTTGGTCTTGTCCTCTCCATGCCGGAATTTAGCCCACTCAGGCATCCGGATTAACCCAGCGACTCGTCTGAACCAGATGCCTCAATAAGACAACAAACTTTCAAGTCACTTATGCGTCACCAAATTTACCAGTCAGTTAGATCGTGATTCATAAATACTTTTCATTCATTCGAATGGCAAAGCATTGAGTAGAGCAACGATGGCTGGAAATATTTTTTGCTTTTTGGCCGCATAAGAAACACTCCCTTGCCCCAAACTACGATCGGAAACTTATTATACGAATTATCGTCAATGAATCTGATATCAGGTAGGGGAAAATATTCCTGTCAACAAACGTCTCGCGAGTGACCTTGTGGGATTTGCATACGCGCACAGCCGAACTGGGGTACTGGCACTTTTACTCAGGACATAAATGCCTACGAGAAGACTCAATCATTAACCTAGGTTAGGCCCTGCATGCGATGGGCATTTGGACTGCACACTTTTGCGAAGATCGAAAGACTCATAATTCTCTCCAGTTTGGCCATGCTCGACTCATTACTCGCAAGCTATGAACGCGCTTCGTCGCTTCTTGCATCGTCTACGCCGACCATTTTACCGTAGACATTTACGTAGACCTGTACGGCATCGGACACTAGGTGAGTTCAACTTCATTTGGACATTATTTTCTCGGTAACAATCGGGAGATGGCACCCAAAAAATTCGCTACCTAGAAATAATACCTTTAACATTGGACTCAAACGCCTTCCGGCTATATCAGCGGTTGTAGGCCTACTTTCCCGCACTACTTGGACTTTCCGCGACGGCCTAACACCGGCTGGCCGCACGAACATCGCATGAGGTTACACGATCGATGGTCGCTGTTACCCAACCTTCCCCATCGTTACACACGTACACCTGAATATACCGCATACATTCGCTTTATGGCAGTTTATTACAAAACAAAATCACTTTTAAATAAGATAAGTCTGCACAACATGGGACAGGAACAGTTCCCAGGCATCTGTAAAAGACCTGGCAATGAGGCCAAACCAAAGACGATACCGTACTTCGTCTATGTGAGCCCACAGAGCTCGACCACATACAGGGCCTCCCTTGTGGAGTTTCCTTTTCCGTCTACTTCAATATGCCTCAATGACATTGGTGTGCCGACTGGTGGTAGGGTCCTTGAAGTCCTTTGAGTGGTTAACAGAGAAATGTAGATAACCTTCTAAGGGAAGACGATTATACTCCTTCCACTCTTCTGTTACCACTACACTGCCTTTGGTGACCCATTTTGCAAAAACGGAACGGAGATCGGGCCAACTTCGATCATTCACCTGTTCAAATAAGGCTTTCTGTCGGCTAGTATCGTACACCTCGCCCAGCCGCCACCCATAAAACCCCTATTTCCACCTGTTCCGTAAGCCAGGATGTTTTGGTTAGGCGGATTTTTTTGAGTGCCATCTCCCGATTGTTACCATTTTCTCATTATAAAAGGTAATGATCAAACATTTCACAGGTTTAATGATAATCTTACCGGGCCAGTCTAACGGTGTATCAGCAACATGCCGAAGAAGTTTGCAAGTGTTAGGAAGAGTTGTTGAGTCAAAAAATTCCAGTGAAGTTGAATATGCAATATCTCAGGTATGGATATGGGAGATATGGATGAAGTATATTAAAGAGGATAAGCCACTGGTGAGAGGTTGAGACAAGTCTAGGTTATGGATGGCCAAATAGGTGTAATGTGAACAGATGTATCCGCATAGCAGGCGGTAATGAGCATGGCCGACTTCTCTTGTTACTGAAGGTCTGCAGACCGGACAGGTGGTTGCGTGGTGACTGGTTGTTTCGGGCTTATACACCGTCATCAGCGAGGAATGGGAATTTAGGCGTTACAGTCTTTATAAACAAAGTCCTGCTGGTTCTAATTGGATCCAGTCAGGCAGGGCTTGAATGTATCCCCAGCAGGATATACTATGAGAGGTAATCTCAACAAAGCTAGGTGATACGTAATTATAGATAACAGACGTGCATTTCAGAAAGTCATTCCTGATAAATGGCATTTTGTTATCGACAGGAACTAGGCTATCCAATTTCGGCAAACGTTAGCCACTTCTTTAAGAGTAGGGAAGCTTCATGCAGTCAAAACCCAATGACCACGTCAATATTAGTATCATACTAACAGCCTACAATGTTGCTGATTAGGCCTCACCTTTGTTTTTAGCATCCACGCTGGCTAGACCTTAATAAATGCAGGTTGTAAGGTCGAATCAGACCCGTCCGTGGCACTCTTCTAATGCCAAGTATAATCTGAATGTGGGGTCAGATCTCGTGGAATGAGCCGTATCTTGATGGCTGGTATCATTTCTCTGCACCACTGTCACGTGCTCGGCCATTTGCTCGCGTTTAGAACAGTCGTCCAGATTTTCCGACGTAGATTCTTTGCCCGCTATTAGAGACATTGTGCAGACTAAGTTGGCTGCCTCCTCGGAGATGTAGAGATGATGCTCTAAGCATTATCGATAATCCTCCTTTATTCATTTCCCCTTTATTCACTTCCTCTTTATTCACTTCCTCTTTATTCGCTTTCCCCTTTATTCACTTCCCCTTTATTCACTTTCTCTTTATTCACTTCCTCTTTATTCACTTTCCCCTTTATTCACTTCCCCTTTATTAACTTCCTCTTTATTCACTTCCTCTATATTCACTTCCCCTTTATTCACTTCGTAGCACATTCCTAACACATTCCTGACCCTAATATTAATTCATTTGACACGCTGGACTGATTACCAGTAAAGTATCAGTCAACAGTATCCATGAATGTGTAAGTTCGCTTGAGGTCAATAAATCGCCGAACAGCGGTAGGATACTAACGAATCAGATGTCGATCTAGTTCCTTTCCCTTATTGATTCCCTTCACGCCTGTACCATCTAGTATTGTTCATGGGAAGAAAATGGCAGGGAGGATCTGTGGATGATCACTTGTATACCGTCTAGTAAAACAAGGCCGGAGGACCGGTGCCAAATAAGCGGCCACAGGTCTTCCATTACGGCTACCTTACGTACTATTGTTTGTTCAGTAGGTGTGCTTGTGGTATTTTTTTTTGCCGCGGCGGCAAAAAAAAATACCACAACCACACCTACTGAACAAACAATAGTACGTAAGGTAGCCGTAATGGAAGACCTGTGGCCTCCATGGCTAGAAGGAAACATTCAAACACACCTAGCAACCCGCCTCCGTAGGGTTTACGTGGAGTTCCCATTCCCTGTTGCCTAAAATTTATGTCCAACATACAATGCAACTTCTATGCATTTACGCACACAAACCTCTCTTACTCCAAACCACCTCTGGGCAGTTCCCCATGCGTTGCGGTTGCGCTGTTAACTGCCCGTTTGACGGTTTCTCGGTTTACGTAGTGTTTCCCGTCATCATCTCTCGGTTTGCAATCATGGTCCACTTGCCTCTCCTCCTACGCATTCCGGAGTCCACCTAACTGAGTTGCCAGCATTCCTATTTCGTCATTAGGACTACCACTTACGCCAGCTGTCCACTAACGTTTCCAGTCCGCCTTCAACTTCCGGGCGTACACCTGACCCTGCAGGCCTTCTCTCCGCATATTCTGCAACACCCACCCCTCCCCCCGAAACTAAAAGGCTTACAGCCTACGCCGTCCAAACATACGTCTGTCACTTTGGGGTAGCTGCTACCACAGGCATTCGGCTCTTAGACCACTGCCGTATTTACATACACCTCTACCGCCTAGCCCACGCCTTTCCCCTTCCCCCCTTCCGAAGGCCTGTAATCGACGCCGTGCCGATATCATTTCCCGCAGTACCGCTCCCTTTAACGCAAACTTACCGCAATCGACAATTCCTTCATCGGCTGTTTCCATTTCCGCCTGCTTCATAGTCTACTGTCCCTCCCAACCGGCTTTGTTAGTTGACCTGATATGCCCTTCCCTGCGGGTGGGTCATGTCGCTCGTTACCAGCTACAGCTATTCCTACTTATCGTCTACCGTGGCCGGCAGCGGCTTCAGACAGTCTCTACGTATCTCTCAGTTCCCGCCCTAAAGGCCTTCCGTAATCACTTCCTTCCTGACCTACAAGGGTTTATCGACGAGGCTTAGTGGACGTCATTGCATTATTCTACGTACGTAAATATGTTTACGTACCAAGCCTCCAAGGTTGGTCGATTAGTCGCAATCCTTACCGTTATATGATGGCTACGTTACCACTGCTAGAGACAGCCACCCATCCAACAGACAACGTCCGTTCAATTCCCCATTAGTGATCCATAGGCACCTATCAGCTAACGCAGCCCTTTGGATGACAGTTATTCAACTGCTTACCACACCTTACCTCATTCCGGAGGCTTCGCAGTACCGTAATCACTAACAACTACATGGGCATATGAAATATTTACTCTGAATTATTAAAAGGTACAATACACTGGCCAGGTAGGGGGACTGGCGAGGTAGGGGAAATCGTCCCCGACTGCCTTGGGCCGCCGGTTTGCCACAACAGTAATATACAACAGTTTGGTTTACAATAAAAAGGGTACGCGATTACACGCTTCCAGTTCCATGCGGTAACTCCTTGTCCACCTGCCCATGAATCTTCGGAAGAGAATCCCTCATCACCAGAAGACAATGGTACCTTTACTGTAGGTAGGCATGGACAGTAAATAAACGAGGTATGTAGTATTCCCTTTACGTATTCCATCTGGGTCTTCGTTCGTTGCCTTCATCATTCGTCCATGGTTGGTTCTCCACAATCGACAGCTTCCTCTTTGACCGGCCGGTAACGGTCACCGGCACTACAGCTACGCATGGAGAGTAAGTGGACGAAGTACACAGTCATACCTTCCAGTCTTCTGTCATCACCTTCATTGGTTGGCTTCCCCAATCGTCCATGGTTGGCTCTCCACAATCGTCAGCTCCCCTCTATGACCGGTCAGTAACGGCTACCGGCACTACAGCTAGGCATGGAGAGTAAGTGGCCGAAGTACACAGTCATACCTTCCAGTCTTCCGTCCGTGCCTTTCATGGTTGTCTTTCCCAGTCGTTCATGGTTGGCTCTCCACAATCCACAGTTGATTCTATGACCGGCCAGTAACGGCTACCGGCACTACAGCTAGGCATGGAGAGTAAGTGGACGAAGTACACAGTCATACCTTCCAGTCTTCTGTCATCACCTTCATTGGTTGGCTTCCCCAATCGTCCATGGTTGGCTCTCCACAATCGTCAGCTCCCCTCTATGACCGGTCAGTAACGGCTACCGGCACTACAGCTAGGCATGGAGAGTAAGTGGCCGAAGTACACAGTCATACCTTCCAGTCTTCCGTCCGTGCCTTTCATGGTTGTCTTTCCCAGTCGTTCATGGTTGGCTCTCCACAATCCACAGTTGATTCTATGACCGGCCAGTAACGGCTACCGGCACTACAGCTAGGCATGGAGAGTAAGTGGACGAAGTACACAGTCATACCTTCCAGTCTTCTGTCATCACCTTCATTGGTTGGCTTCCCCAATCGTCCACGGTTGGTTCTCCACAATCGTCAGCTCCCTCTATGACGGGACAGTAACGGCTACCGGCACTACAGCTAGGCATGGAGGGTAAGTGTAGGAAGTACAGAGTCATACCTACCAGTCTTCCGTCCGTGCCTTACATGGTTGGCTTTCCCAGTCGTCCATGGTTGGCTCTCCACAATCGACAGTTCCTTCTATGACCGGCCAGTAACGGCTACCGGCACTACAGCTAGGCAAGGAGAGTAAGTGGACGAAGTACACAGTCATACCTTCCAGTCTTCCGTCTGCGCCTTCGTTGGTTAGCTTCACCAATCGTCGATGGTTGGCTCTCCTCAAACGACAGGTCCTTCTTTGACAGGCCGGTAGCGGCCACAGGTACTGTCGGTAAGCATGGACAGTAAGTGGACGAAGTACACAGTCTTACCTTCCAGTCTTCCGTCCGCGCCTTCGTTGGTTAGCTTCACCAATCGTCGATGGTTGGCTCTCCTCAAACGACAGGTCCTTCTTTGACAGGCCGGTAACGGCCACAGGCACTGTAGGTAGGCATGGAGAGTAAGTGGACGAAGTACAGAGTCATATCTTCCAGTCTTCCGTATGCGCGTTCGCTGTTTAGTTTCTCCAATCGCCGATGGTTGGCTCTCCTAAAACGACAGCTCCCTCTTTGACCGGCCGGTAACGGTCACAGGCACTGTAGGTAGGCATAGAGAGTAAATGGACGAAGTACAAAGTCATGCCTTATAGTCTTTCTTCAGCGCGTTCCTTGGTTAGCTTCTCCAATCGTCCGGCCGGTAACAGCCACAGGCACTGTTGGTAGGCATGGAGAGTAAGTGGACGAACTGCGTAGTCTTACCTTCCAGTCTTCCGTCTGCGCCTTCGTTGGTTAGCTTCTCCAATCGTCGATGGTTGGCTCTCCTCAATCGACAGCTCCCTCTTTGACCGGCCGGTAACAGCCACAGGCACTGTAGGTAGGCATGGAGAGTAAGTGGACGAAGTACAGAGTCATATCTTCCAGTCTTCCGTCTGCGCCTTCGTCGGTTAGTTTCTCCACTCGTCGATGGTTGCCTCTCCTCAATCGACAGCTCCCTCTTTGACCGGCCGGTAACGGCCACAGGTACTGTAGGTAGGCATGGAGAGTAAGTGGACGAAGTACGGAGTCTTACCTTCCAGTCTTCCGTCTGCGCCTTCGTTGGTTAGTTTTTCCAATCGTCCATAGTTGGCTTTCCTCAAACGACAGCTCCCTCTTTGACCGGCGGGTAACAGCCACAGGCACTGTAGGTAAGCATGGAGAGTAAGTGGACGAAGTACAGTCATATCTTTCCCGTCTTCCGTCTGCGAGTTAGCTGGTTAGCTTCTCATATCGTCCATGGTTGGCTCTCCTCAAACGACAGCTCCCTCTTTGACCGGCCGGTAGCGGCCACAGGCACTGTCGGTAAGCATGGAAAGTAACTGGACGAAGTACAGAGTCTTACCTTCCAGTCTTCCGTCCGCGCCTTCGTTGGTTAGCTTCTCCAATCGTCGATGGTTGCCTCTCCTCAATCGACAGCTCCCTCTTTGACCGGCCGGTAACGGCCACAGGTACTGCAGGTAGGCATGGAGTGTAAGTGGACGAAGTACAGAGTCTTACCTTCCAGTCTTCCGTCCGCGCCTTCGTTGGTTAGCTTCTCCAATCGTCCATGGTTGGCTCTCCTCAAACGACAGCTCCCTCTTAGACCGGCCGGTAGCGGCCACAGGCACTGTCGGTAAGCATGGAGAGTAAGTGGACGAAGTACAGAGTCATATCTTCCAGTCTTCCGTATGCGCGTTCGCTGTTTAGTTTCTCCAATCGCCGGTGGTTGGCTCTCCTCATTAGACAGCTCCCTCTTTGACCGGCCGGTAACGGTCACAGGCACTGTAGGTAGGCATGGAGAGTAAGTGGACGAAGTACAGAGTCATACCTTCCAGTCTTCCGTCTGCGCCTTCGTTGGTTAGTTTATCCACTCGTCGATGGTTGCCTATCCTAAAACGACAACTCCCTCTTTGACCGGCCGGTAACGGCCACAGGCACTGTAGGTTGGCATGGAGAGCATGTGGACGAAGTACAGAGTCACACCTTCCAGTCTTTGTCTGCGCGCTCGTTGGTTAGCTTATCCAATTGGCGTTTGTAGGCTTTCCTCAATCGCCAGCTTTCCCATCGTCAGTAGGTAACGGCTGCAATCGCAGTAGGTAGGCTTGACGCCGTATGAACGCCTACTAACAGGAGTAAATATAACTGTGCGTAAAAGGAGACACAAGCGAACACAAAAACAAAGACAGTTAGGGTAGGCATTGTCAGCGTATAGCGAGACACGACGTGTGCAGTGCAGCATGAGAGAGCAAAAAGTGGCACCGGCAAGAGGCAGAGGACTATCGGGCACCAAGCCAATCGATAATCAAGTGCAACTATGCGCGGCCGCTTGCGCCCTTGGCGACGCCGACGCAGCCGACCCGGGAACCAATCCAAACCGCGAGCAGGCTCCAGACCCACTACCCCCTCCCCCCCAAGTACACCGGCTTGCGGCGAGCTCTCTTGCTATTAGGGTTCCCCCTTAATCTGCTCCAGTTGGCCTCTATGGCGTTCGTATGCCGTCCCGTTGTGGGATTCACGAAGCCCCTACGGTGGTTCACAGTGCAGTGCCTACAACCTTCGGACGGTAGGCGGGTGCAACCTTTCCACTCATCGGTTACGATAACACTACCAGCAGCCACCCACTTCCTTATGACGGGCCTCATGGACTCCCAGCTGCGGTTGTTAATCTGTTCAAATAGGGCTTTCCGCCTGCGTGTATCGTACATATATGACCTACAACTGCCGCCGCGGTCGTCCCCTGTTTTATTTGCCGCGACTTATGAGCGTCTCGTCTATCTGTACTTCCACGCCTGGTCCCCCAATTTGGGTTACGGCGGAAAAATTTAAACTTAAAAGGGTTACGTAGGCCTACAAGCTGTTCTCACCATGGATACTTGCAAATCCCGTAAAACAGCGACCGCCAAGGTCGGGAGTTTGACGACTTGCTGTAGGTTGGTGCGGTGGTGTTGGAGTACGTCCAGGTATCTTAAACATTGTTCACGTTATGCGTACTAAACGGTGCATGCCGTGGAGATCACCGATATAACAAATAGGGAGGGGTTGAGGAGGGGGTCAGTAAGGGGCCGGGTAGTGATGCAATTGTCATAAGCACTTTATACAAATACTCTTACCCAACCGCAGTACACCGCTGACAGCCCGCGTTCCCTTTGTGCATCGTATGCATCGTGCCTGTCTACCGCACACCACTTTCAAATGCGGCGCCAATGATCCCATTGGTTAGCCGCTTGGCGGTTCAGGTTTCCTCGCCCCGGCGGCCAATCACATCACGTCCCCAGCCAGCCCTCATTTGATTGGTCATTGCCTACGGTTTTCCCTATTTGCGCGCCATCCTCCCCCTATTTTTGACTTCATTAAAACAAACATTTATTTTTCTGCGATTTTCATCATTTTTCGGCTTCTATCTGCCAATTTAGTGCCCTTTGCCGTTTGCCCCGCCCGTTCTTCCCCTCAAAACCGCCATCCCGTTGTACCCGACCCACCTAGAGAGGATTTCTCACTGTGGCTGCCTGTTGGGCTTCTGCCGGCTACGACGATGATGTCTACATGGAGTGCAGGCGGAAGGGGGGGGGCGGATGTTCAGCTCAAATCCTGACCCAACGCTTCGTCAAGTCGTAGACCTTCGGTTTTCTGTCCTCATACACTCAGCGCCTGATTGTCGATCCTGGAGAGGTACTTTCGGGATGGACATTAAAGCCAGCTAGATGAGGCATGATCAAAACTTGATTACGACCTACTACGGAAGGCACCTGCTGCGGTGCCTGCAGATTCCATACACCCACGCAGTACTAAAGAGGGGACAGGAGAGGGCTCTATATTTCCGCAGCTGGAGAAGAAACATCCATGGACTTTATCAATTTATTTCTTTCGGAAAAATCCTGAAAGATTGATTGTTCAACATTGTCTTTTAATCGACATTTCGCATTCACTCACCAGCGCCACTCTTATTTCTAGGTCCATTTTACAGGAGTCAGCCTGTATCCGTGGGCTGTGAGAGTATTTTGGAAACAGTTGGACTTATCGCGGCAGATAAACCGTCGGACAACGACCTATTCCTATTTATCCAGAGGCCGAGTGAGTAATAGAATTATTTTTGCAATGATCCCTTTTATTTATGATGACTGTTTACATTCTCAAACTGGATTTAAATACATTAATGTTCTTTGCTTCTTTTGCAGATTCATTCCTCCGTAGATTTGGCACAAGCGTAGGAGAAGATCCAGTTTTTGAGACAGCCCATTTTATGGATATTGACAGAGAGTTTACCTGTGAAGTTCACACGACCGGTAAGTACAATCATTCCTATTGCCATCAGACATATTAACTGTGTGCAACTTTTTTTACCACAGACTCTGACTTCAGTCAAAGTAGTCATTATTGTCTAAATGGAGTCCCCTTCTCGGCAGTCAAGCAGATTATGAAAGGTTGGATGCTCTCTATCAGACTTCTGGCTTCTCGTCGAATGTCAAACATTCTGAGGAAGACATCAACCACTGCGGGGTATTTCGGGTGCATACGTAGGGATGCATGGAACGGCGTGCGATAGGCGCGGGCCGCACCAATTTGAATCCGAGTCACCTCCCATTCCTTGTTGGTTGAATAAGGTCCCGGTCAGTGTTAGCTGTGAACTTGAGGGTGCAGTGGCATGCTTTGGTGAGGGTTTCTGTCGTGCCAGTCACCTACGGCCAGTTACCTGCGGTCCTTTCTGCCTCCGATATTTTCTGCCTTGTTCTGACACCGAGACCGGGTGGAGGGGGCGGAGGGGGGTAGAGAAATCGTGCGGCAGATACTACACAAGTTCGCCATTATAATAAACTAATTCACGTACAAGTCACCGTGCCTGCTCTCCTCCTGCTATGAGACACATGGTGGATATCGTCGAAACCGAAGCTTCAGCTGCCAGTTTAATATAATCCAGAGACAATAGCAGATATGGATAGTTCGTGCACAAGGGGCTGCAGTATTTGTAGGATGCAGTCGCAATGCTACCACATACCTAAGAATATTCACTGTTCCCCTCCCCCTCATCGAGAATTGTTGCACTTAATGTGATGACTGTTTGATGGCCGATATTCGCGTCATTAATTGCTTCGATTTCACCACGGCTGTTGGGTGTTGGTGTGATGATTGCTCAACCATCTGAATCACCAACCCTGGATTTGGGAAAAGTGTTCAACTGTGCGCTCCCGCGCGGCTAATTACTCCGCCCAGGCGAAGTCTCAGCAATGAGTAGTGAGCGGGAAGGTCGTTGCATTTTCTAATAGACTTGGCGCCAGTGAACCAGTGGAGACGGCAGACAGAGGAATATTTCCTTCTTATCGGACCTCGCCACGTCCGTTTTCGGCTATCGCCCGTCAATTCATAGTGTAGAAATTCAGGCGTCATTGTAGCCTCCTGTGTTTTTGCTTTTCACCTAACAGACGTTCTGCCATTCATCTTCTAATAGACTATTCGAAAAAGTCATTTTCTCCCAGCTTGTATGACTTTCCAGTGAACTAAACCTCGATTCTGCCTTTGAGGGACAAACAGATAGAAACGTGTTCACGACCCTCTTCTAATTATATTATCTCAGAGAATTTCGTCTTCTCAGCGCATCAGCAGATTTCCGAAATGGTGAACATTTATTTCCAAATACATACTAAAATGACAGGGTTTAAATCGAAATTTCATCCTATTCTTTCTCCTTCTAGAAGAAACCAGTTTTTTACATTTCCCACATTACTTAACGAAGGACAGATATGTGGTTATGTCTCAGAGGATGCCGGTAGACGGACTGTATGAGTTTTTTCGGAGCAACGATGGACAAAGATCATTAGACAGCCAGAGTGGAAACACCTTGTAGCAGCCACGGTACCTTTCATTGATTTACCCTTTCATGCATGCACAGAATCAAGAATATGCGTTTATCCTGTGGATTCAGCAAAACCCAGAATGAAACGGGCATTGAAAACACGGCTGGGGACGTCTCAATCTCCGCCACTGATGTTCCACTTCCGGTAATTTCAATTTCGGTGAATGTTTCAGCTATGATGCTTTTTCAGTTCTCCGGAATCTGACCAAGATGAGACACTGGAGACCTCAAGAGTCTGCTCAATCGACTCGGCCAAAGTAAACACATCGGAGACTACAATTCCTGTGCCAGTTACTGCTGACACTTGGTCGACATCGTCTATGGCGGAACCATTCCTTACTGAAGTATTCTCCGGAG